ATCCGTAATGTGGGGGGGACACAATGATGTGTGTAGGTGTGCATGTGTGTGCGCGCGCGTGCGTGTGTGCGAGTGTGTAAAAAAATGTGTTCACTAGTGAACAAAAAAGCAGCATTTCACCTAGATTTCCTTTAATTCCACACATTTAAAACATGTTTCTCACCAAGTTTGTGTAAATTAAGCTGTGGATTTTAAAGACATTTTAACTTTAATACACTTTAATACAGAGCGTCAGGTTGGCACCATTTGTCTTGAATATATGTTTATGATCAACCCCCTGGTCAACCACTGCCCGCACTAAGCTGCTAAACTGGCGAGCGAGTAACACAGAGTTGTCTCCATCTCCTCCACCAGTGCACGTTTTATGCCGAGACAAGAGGAGACGCACAGAAACACTGCAGGTGTTACACCATATTCTGTGACCACCGTATATTGTGACCGTGGCAACAGGCTGCTGTGTTTAGAGTTGGAGGTAACCAGGAAAACCTGGAGTGGAGTTTTAGTGGCCCGAGTATTCTCCTATTAATCAAGTGGAATGGATTTGTTCACGAAGAAAGAGAAACTGTGCAGACTGAACTAATATTTTATAGTAAAAGTTGTGGGGGGGGGGGGGGGGGGGTCCAAAAGAAAATTTTTTTAATGTGGGGGGGACTTGTCCCCTTCACATATAATGGTTGCGACACCTATGATATACACACGTGTATATGTGGTATGCTCTTTTAATTCTGTTCCTTTAGAGAATTTATTTGAGTACGTCGTGGTGCAGCTTGACCTCAGCTTGAGCTGCACTGAGCCATCACTGTCTTCATGGAGCTTGTAACAAAGTTGCTTTTTGTTGTTGGATTTTAAGTGAATTATTCAAGGCTTTTTCCTCTTTGACAGAACTGAGGTATTTATAGGCGTTGTTCTTCTGCCTCTGTTCCTTACATGGCAACAACAAGCTCTCTAAAGGCTCTTCAACAAACGAACCAATTCTGAGGGAGAGGAGGAGGAGAAAGGCAGCAGAAAAGCAGAAATATAAAATATATGCTGGAGTTGTTTGCTAGAGGCTGAAGGAGAATTGGACTCTAAGGCCACAGTGACACACAGTTTTCATGCTACTTGCCCATGAAGTTGTTTATTTTCCAGAAGATAAATAACATTTAGCTTAAACACTCTGCTGAGCAATGTTTGGCTTCTTGCACCAAACTGACTTCTCTGAAGAGATTTTGATTGTCTAAAGGTGAAGATGAGATGGAGGCCAATTCTTCAGTGGTTCTTGCTGGAAGGTGAACAAGTGGCAAGGAGGAAGGACAACACCTTTGTCAAAGTCTTAGCAGAAGAGCACTGAAGAGTTTGAGATGAACTGTTGTTCAGTCATGGTTTCAGATCTGCCTGTGATGTGTAGCAGGATAGATGGAGTATAGTAACAGTTGTGAAGACCGAACCAACCAACTTCATTCATCATAATCTGCACTGGGGTATATTCATCCACAATCTGTGGTGTTATTGCCTTCCACCAAAGGTGAAGGTGGTGCAAAATGGTTCTTTAACAATAGATGTATTTTAATCAAGCCTTCAGGAAATAATCAGTGGATGTACATCTGCAGCTGATTATTTTTGACATCAACCCATTTCAGGACGGTTGTCACAGCAAACCAAACTTAGACAACAGAAAAATAGCTAAAATTAGTCAATTTTACAGATATCGAGCTAATATAGTTCTGATGTCAATTTTGGTTTGTCTGTTAGCAAAATATGTATAAACTACTGGACAACTTGCCTCCCACAGACCAAAAACATGCATGTTAGACTGACTGGTAGCTCTAAATTGTCCCTGGGTGAGAGAGAGAGAGAGAGTGAATGGTTGTTTGTCTCGTTTGTCTCTATGTGTCCCTGTGATGGACTGGAGACCTGTCCAGGGTGTACCCCACCTTTGCACAGTGACTGCTGCAAGCATCCGTGACTACCGTGACCCGAAAAGAAAGAATTAGGTAAAGATAATGGCTGGATGGATGGACGGACAACTTTCGAATGAAATTCAGAAGTTCATTATTGGCTTCACATCTTCAACTCGTTAAAATTTGGACTCAACCCAGTTCAAGATGGCTGCCACATCTAATTGACCTTAGCCTAATCTAAAAAAGACTATACCTCAGCAAATTTGACAAATATTGAGTTCAAATTTGGTGCGATAGTTGAAAGTCATTCAAAACACATGCTACAAGCACAAAGAGATCATATGAGATTTTTCAAAATCACACAAGATGTGCCTTCTATTATTTTCAAGCTTTGACCAAAAGAGTTATAATTTGATTATTTCTCATCCTAAACAAATGTAGTTTAAAATATGCCATGAAAATATGTGATATGACTTTAAGGCATGGTAGGCGTTTCATTTTTAAATGAGTTTAAGATGAGCATGTTTTCTAAATCTTTCTTTCTTTTGCTACATTTACCTTCAGCACGGAGCTAGATGTAGTAAAGGATTTTTGTCTGTCTGAATTTATTTTTTTAATAATAAAAAATATATTAAAATAAAACATTTTTTTTTTTCAAATAAAAAATAAAATATCTTTGTTTGTAGCTGTACTTCTGAGTGTCTATGTGTGAGGATATTTTTATATCAATAAACTATTAAAGCATTCAGCAAAAAAAATCAGATTACAAAATACCAGTTGACAATCTAAAGTAAAAAGTCTTTCAATATTAAAAATATTGATTTTTTTTTATTTTTAAATGTTTTTTTTTTTAACAAATATCTTAAAACAAGTGTAAAAATTATTTTTACTGAGTTATTTTGAAAACTGTTGCATTTTCTTCATTGGTTTAATTATTTTTTCCAAATATAAATATTTGTTCTCATTACTTCACTGCTAAAATAATCCAAATAAATAAATAAAAGTCCAATAAATATATGAAGGACAAAAAGTTTAAAAATGGGGAAAATCAACATATTCTTGGATAAATACAGGGAAATCGTCGTTCAGAATTTAAAAAAAATTAACATTGAATACTTACATAATATTTAAATCATTGTTTGCAGTTTAGAACAATTCACCATGATGAACAAACTTATTCAGTCTACTTTAAGTTCTTTTTTGCACCGTTTTCTCTCCCTTCATTGTCCTCTCTAGCACACTGTTGTACTGAGAGCATAACTAATTTTATCAGCAATGGCGGGAAAAGAGGGCAACTATTCTCATCCACAAGTATGATTTATAAGGTTAGCAAAGAAATGCATTAGGTGAGGGAAGGTGGAAAAAATAAAATAAAATAAAAACAATATGCTGTTATTTGTGCTCTGTGGATGTGGGTTAGCCTTGTTTCCACCTGCACACTCCAGAATCTCCCAGTTAAATATGTGGAACAACTGGCACAAAGGAGAACAAAGCAAAAAGAGGATTTGGTCTTGTTCCCTCTTTTACTCCAAGCAAGCATCTCCTCAGCTGCAGAAGGTTCAGTATCTTCCTGATTACTTTAAACACCATTTTAACATTAAAGGTGTTTGAAGGCGTTTGCGTCCATGACACTCTGTACGTTGTCATCTATGTGAGAAAAGAACATGGAGGCATAGAGTGCAAAAAGAGAAAGTGGAGATGTGTGAAAGAATAGGATCAAAAAGTCAATGAAGTGTGTGTGATTAGTGTGTGTTTGTGCTAATGTGTGTGTGTGTGTTTGTGTGCAACTTTATCAGTGATAAAGCATCACAGGTTAATTCTCATTCAGCAGGTTTCTCTGTCTGTTTTGGTTTGGGTTTCCATTTGTCTCTGTGTGTGTGTGTGTGTGTGTGTGTGTGTGTAAGATGTATACTGTGTCCTTCAAACAAGGACAATACAGGAGTTACAATGTGTCCACATGAAATGTGAGCTAAAAAACACATGCAGCTGATATGTAACATGTTCATAAAATGGCAGAAAGCAGAATATTGTACAGCAGACTTAGGTTGCTGATAAATGTGTTTAAATTGCTACAATTCAATTAATTGAACCCAACAAGAACCACCAAACACCATTCATTTAATTTATTTGTATTAGTTATTGTTTATATAAAAGAGAGCAAACATTTCCATGAATTCACTATACATAAAGGTGTGAGAAAGGAGGTTAAAAAAAATTAAGTCCAATATTCTAATTAGCAGAATTGTTGCCAGTAGAAGAAAACACACACACA